TTATAAATTCAGTCATTTTATAAATTTTCAACTATAGAAGAATTTTTTAAAGCAAAGGTGTAGTTAAAATTCTGCCTTTAGAAGTGAAAATGAGATACAATAGTAATTTCTCCTATATCATAGAACATGTTTCGCCCTATGTAATTGAAGAAACTGGCATCCACCCAACATGAGAGCAAGGCACACCCACTTGTCTCCTTCAGTGCTTTAGAAACACTGGACATGTTTTTGCAGAAGAGTATTTCTCCTGTGTAGGCCCATACTTGTGGCAAACGCTTTAGTACTTAACAAAAAGATCCCTGAAGAAAGGCTGAAGCAAGAAGGGAGTTAGCCCTGCTCGCTTACTCTGTTTTCCCCCCAAACATTTAGGAGTACCTAACTTAAGTAAGACAAAGTAGTAGGATGCAGAGAGACAAAAGTGATCATAAAGGACCAGATCAAAATCAGAAGTCAAGTGCAGGAAAGATGGCGTTGACAGCTCCACAAGGGGGAAGAACTGCTACCAAGGATATGTCTCATAATGCTGGGACAGCTTAATACTGAATCCTCAACTTCTACTTATATCTATAAATGTAGATGAGGATGTAGAAGTATATTAACAATTTAAGAGCTATCAGAAAATGTCACTTACAGGGTTGCTTTTCGACTGCATCGATGATCTTTTCCAGTGTATCTTCAAGCTCTACTTCACTGACAGACTGAAGAGCTTCTGTGAGGTACTTAATAGCTTCACTGATAAGAGAAGGAAAGAAAAGATGAGGCAGGCCACTAGTAATTAAGGCTAAAGTTGTATGCCAAAAACCAGCAAACACTCATCAATCTGGCACTGAAATTAAGATCCACTTACTCCTCCCTGCAAACAGTACTCACCTTTCCTGTGCTTTCTGAACAAATTCTTCCTTCTATCCCCTGCCAATATAATTGTTCGTAAAGTCCCAAATCACATCCTTCTTTTAAGAAACCTTCCTAGACCACCCTACCTGCTGCAATCTCCCCTTCCTTCTGAAATTGCTAAAAATCTCTTATATACTTAAATTGGATACATTACATTAGCCTAAATGTAAGGTACTATTTATTACCTTACATTTAAGGCAGGACTTCATCTGCTTCAGTGTCCTGAACATATGACACTTAAATACTATTTATTAATTTGATAATGCAGTTGCTTAAACTCAATTCCAGTAATTTCACTGCTGTCTTCAATTGTAAAACTAGAAAAAAACTAGGATAGAAAAACTTTGACCTTTGAATATAATCATAGAAGCAACACATATTAAAATCACATGCATCTCCCCAATCAAAATAAACTCAAGAAAGCTGAAAATTTTTAAAGTTAAATGAATCCCTGATTTATATACCAACAGTGCTCAGAATGAACACTGTGTACTTAAACAATTAGCTAATTTCATGCCATTCTGTATTTGTAGCACACTTTATACTTTACATCAATACTATCATTACAGTCCTCACACTAATTGTTCTACATCTTGGGCTGCTTACGTGTTGTTTCATGTGTAGGTGTCACATCTCTCCAGTTTGTTATATATAATGCTCCTTGAGAAATGGAACTGTATCATCCTTTAGCAGAGTGCTAAGCACACTGACGGTGGCCCATAAATATTTGATGATTCAGTCCCTAAAATCACACACATTTTGGGTCAATCTTGGAACAGCTTTAGGACAGACCAGGCCCTTAGAGCCATCCAGGATCTGGGCCTGCCAAATCTCATTAGGCTCATCCAGTGTCTCTGGTTTTCCTGGTGCTCTTTTGCCTCAGGGTCTTAAGATGGTCATTTCCCCTACTCTTCTCTTCACCTGGTCAAGTCCTACTCATCTTTTTTTTTTTTTTTT